GTATTATAGCTTCTGTCTTTTTACTTACATTTTTTTAACTTTTCATCTTGCAGTTGATCATCATTGACAATGTCAATAAATAGCTATACCTCTATAAAAGATTTGGACCTTACTACTAAAGATCAAGTAATCAAGGCGAGGGTTACCAGGTTGTGGGAGAACATCAATCCAATATCTAAACAAGTATATGGATTACAACTAATATTGATAGATGAAAATGTAAGTTGCATATTCTTTACTTTATTTGACTTCTATAATTGAAGTCAGATACATATAACATGTGATTATATATTTTATATTTATAATTCTAGATTTATAATTACCAATCTGCTTTATTTATTATTATCAGGATAATGATGTTCAAGGAAACATAAAAGCAACTGAGATATCTAGGTTCAGACCAATGATAGAAGAAGGGAGGATTCATATTCTTTCTAAGTTCAAAGTGATAACTGCGTATGGTGATTATCGAGCAACTCAAAACAATTACTTTATATGCTTCTTTAGACAGACTGAAATTAAGGTTCTACAAGATGATGATGAGGTAATCCCGAGACAAAAATTCCAATTTAAAGATTATAATGAACTTGGACAATTTCTAGGAAGACGTACATATCTTTATGGTAAGGTCGTTCAAAATTTTAATAATTATGTTTTTATTTGATAAGTTTGATAAACTTGATATTACATGTATTAATAATAGACATATTTCATAGATGTTGTAGGAATTGTGAAGGATATATACCCATTGGAAGATTCTACTACTGGAGGGAAAAGATAAACCAGAAGATCGCTAAAAATAATTAACGATTTGTAAGCGTTTTATACATTTAAAATTATAATGGATTCTAATTTTATTTTATATCATGGCTGATTTTTTACTTTTCTTCAAGGGGCGAGGAATGTACAGTGACATTATGGAACAAAATTGCATTGGATTTAGAAGATCAAACTCAACAGTATGACCCAAATAATATGGTTATGATAATCACTGGAATATTTGTAACAAATTTTCGAGGTAATGAGCACGAACCATTGCTATCCAGTCAAATTCAAATTGATATTAGCTTGGTTAAATTTTTTTTGTTGTTCAATGAAAAGATATTTTATTCATCACTAAAATTTGAAAATTGAGTACATCAACTGTCCACGAATGAAACATGGAAACTAAATATCCAAACACATCGTTTGGAAACAACAGATCAAAAACATATCATATTACATATTTTACAGCTTCTCCTTCATATGGTCAGGGATATCATCATTATAAATCTTGGAGAAAATTGATATCTTCACAGCAAACAAATTATCATGCCCCTATTTTTGAACTGAAAATTTCTCAAGTTCCTTTCTTGCCATATCAAATAGACCATAACAGACAATTACATTCTCTTCGATTTTTTCATATAACTCTTCCCCTTTAAGTTGTTGCAAAAAAAATTGATGATATGATTCCAATAACTTTATACCATGATTAGACAGAATATTGACATTCGATATTCTACAATTCCGATAGGTTTCCTCTATGTTATTTGAGCATACGACACAAGTATTCGTGCCCAACATTCTCATTTTGTGTAGTCTATCTTGAGTCAATATTCAAGAATGAATGACCAACCATAAGATGATCGAATGCTGTGGATAATGAAAGCCTCTACAAAAAATTCTAGAACAAGGGCTTGACTGGTTGATTGACTTAAAGCTTAGTAGACAGAGGATATTTTGAAGCTTGGTTAATGTTTGTAGCTCTGATTATGCATCTCTGTAGTTGGTTATCGTATAACATTAATTCTTTTCGTGTATTTAGCAGGAAATAATACAGTTTCTTCTAGCAGCGCGTCGAGAGTATATATCAACATTGATGATCCAAAGGTGAAGGATTTATCTCAGAGGTATGTGGTGTAGTTAAGAGATTATACTATAAACATAAAATGTAATGTTGTACAATTGCATTATTATTGTAGGTATGAATAATTGTCGTTAATATATTATTGCTCATATGGATTTCTAAAGTGAATTTATCATCATCTAGATATCTCAATGACAGTGAAGAATTGTTGCAAATAATTCCTACCCCAGTCAACTACTCAGCAGATCAACCACAACTTATAAAAGCAACAAATGGCACATTGAATGATTTACTTTTCTTCAATGACCCTAGGACTTCGAATGTAAATTTGCATTATATAATAAGATACTTTCTATGTGTATGTATCATCACTGATTTACATTACTTTTCTGAGATTATTTTCCCATCATTACAGGAATATTATTTCATTTGCGAAGTTATTATCATTGGTATTATTGAGCATATGAAATGGAGATACAGTGGTTGCCCTGATTGTTCAAAAAAATCTTTAATAGCTGGTAATTCATTCTGGTGTGAGAAATGTAACAAACAAGTCATGGCACAAAACTGGTAATATTTTGATATCATATTGACTCGCATATAAAGTTATGTAATAGTTAAATAATCATGAAATGTAATGAGTATTTGTATTATTTGCAGTTATAAGATAACACTAGAGGTCGAAGATTATTCAGCCGTTTCCACAATAACATTATTCAACAGAGAAGCTGAGAAATTGTTTAAGGTTTCTGCTGATGAAATGGCTAAGAATTTGGTGAAGGTAATTACATAAACCTCTATATTATTTTTATCATCTAATTTTGTTTGAAGTCTATGAGTTTCTGTTTGTATTGTTTCATTTCATGGCCTACTGATGTTCACATCAACAGATTAAAGGAAAGGAAGTTTTCCCACCATTGATTAAGGGGATTGTGGGTAAGAAAATTAAAGTTCAGATTAAGCTTACTAAATACAATTACATTGAGGGTAATGAAGGATTCACAGTTATGAAACTGATAGAGGACTTACACGACAGAAATAAAGAAAGCTACATCGAAAATACACCACAGGTTTAAATTCTTAAATCATAGAATGTTAGACAATTCATTTATCATATTAATTCTAATTGTTTAAATATTATTTCTAATTAGGATGTGTTCGCCCAGCAAAATTCTGACGTTATTAGCCTTACTGAAGAAGGACCACCAACAACTCCATTGACTACTCCTATTTCAAAATCTGTTTTGAAAAATACTACTAACGTAATGATAAAACCAAAGATTGAGAAGGCAGTAAACAACAATTTGGTTGTAAATAACAGCATTGAAGTGGAAGAAAAGTCTGGTAATATTGAGCAACTCAAATTGCCAATGCAAGAAGGTAAAATATATGACTTCCTATTTGAAATTATGAGAATTATTTAACAAAAGTTACTAATATGTTCAAATCTAATTTAATAATTCAAGTTCAATATTCATAATGTAGGAAATAAGAAAAGGAGAACCAATCGAAGCGGTGGAAAAGAGAACTAACAGGTGGAAGACTTCACAACAACTTCTGAAGAGTTTTCAACCTAAGTTTAGTGTGCATATTTATGTTGCTTATGTTTAATCATATTATGTAGTTTTAATTACGCAAAACTATAAGATGTATCTTGATACTTAATATGTATACTTTTGTTAAATGTAATGTAATAGATTTGATCAATTTTATATGCATATGGAATAGGTAAGATAGTCAAAATTCAGGTTAGCCATGCATCAACGGATGTAACAGTTTTACTAAAGGAATTGGACAGGTTGCTCATCAGAAGACACGTTTTATTATTGTCTCAACTTCCTCACATTTAAATTGTAGTTGCAGCATAGTGTGGATGCAGGTACATAGTTCAAGACACATGCACAGACTGTCTATTGATCTGAGCAATTCCCCACAACCATCTACTGTGCTCGAAACTTCCACAATCAAGTTGGCCATGTTGGTCATCATCAGACACGTTGCTACACTTTGCGACTCTTCTTGGCCACATCGCTCAAATTCTCCACAAAAATATTTCAGTTAATCTGCTTGCACAATGTCCCAGTGTATAAACTGCTTTCCTATTAAGCCTAAAGATAGTTGAAGAAAATTTTACAACAAGTCATTACGGAGTTCAAACACTTGCTTCTTCATCAATTTCCTAAACCGCAATATAATTCAATAAAATTCTTATTCAGGTTAGTATCAATTTCAGCTTCCGCATTTCAACTTTCTTGATTCTCTGTGTTTTCTTTGGCTATTGCTGGTATTTTCTTCATCCTTCTTGATTCTATGTGTTTTATTTTATTTTGTTGTTTTATTTGAATTTTCTTCATCCTGCTTGCAGTTACAATCAGAGATTTTTGAGATGTATGGTGATTAGTGAATAACTATAAGAAAGAGTGGAACTGGGTTCTTTCAAAATTGCAACATTCAAAATTTGATCTATTGTGCTGAGCAATTCCCCACAACCATCTACCATGCTCAAAACTTCCACAATCAAGTTAGCTATGTTGGTCATCATCAGACACGATGATACACTTTGCCACTCTTCTTGGCCACATCACTCAACTTCTCCACAAGAAGATTTCAGTTGATCTGCTTCCACAAATTTGCATTTTATACACTGCTTTCCTATTCAGTTTATACAAGTTGAAGAAATATTTACAAGTCAGTACGGAGTTCAAACACTTGCTTCTTCATCAATTTCCTCAACAACATTATAGTTCAAGATAAATCTTATTCAGGTTAGTATCAAATTCAACTTCCGCATTTCAACTTTCTTGATTATCTGTGTTTTCTTTTGCTTTTGCTCACTGATCCTCCATCCGATTTTAATCCTCCCTTTTGGTGCGATATTTCTGATTCTGCAATTTCTGATGATGAAAGCATCTGAAATGCACGAATCTCTGCGAACAGGGTAATTTTACCTTCAAATTTATTTTTCCAAATGAACTTTTTCATAAGAGACTAATACTTCTTCTCCCCGCCGCCGCCGGCAGACATCAATGATCCTCCCTCCGTTATTGAATCCTCCCTTTTGGTGCGATATTTCTGATTATGCAATTTCTGATTAGGAAAGCATCCAAAATGCTCGAATCTCTGCGAACATGGTATTTTTACCTTTCTCAATTTTATTTTTCCAAATGAAGTTTATCATAAGAGACTAATATTTCTTCTTACCGCCGCCGCCGGCAGACGTCAATGATCCTCCCTCTGTTATTGAATCCTCCCTTTTGGTGCGATATTTCTGATTATGCAATTTCTGATTAGGAAAGCATCCAAAATGCTCGAATCTCTGCGAACATGGTATTTTTACCTTTCTCAATTTTATTTTTCCAAATGAAGTTTATCATAAGAGACTAATATTTCTTCTTATTCCTATGCTAAAACTTATAAGAAGACCAATAAAGCGAAGATGGATCTAGGAACTTCATGTCGGAAGTCAGATCATTTGAAGGGAAAGCCTGCAGATTTTTATGCCTCATCTCCCGAAGGTTTTCTTTAAGTAGAGCATCAGTTTAATTTTGTAGAACTTAAAAATATGCTGTAAGATTTATAATTTTGGCAACTTTTGCTGTTTATATTTATATCTTGAAAGAAGTGAATGTTCATTAGGCGTGAAGAAGAGACGGACAATTTTCTAATTTAGAGAGATGTAGAAGTAAAGAAAGGGGAAGTATCATGATCCTGTTTTGGGATTTTTTGCCATTTTTGCAGGTTCTTATTTTTCCACTCTCAACTTTGCAAACTATTACTGGCGTTTACATTTTGGAGTTGAAATGATTTCATATTAACTGTATAAATGTTCTCTATTTGTGTATTTTGTTGACCTTAGTCTAGCTTATAGAAATGAACAAAAAATAATGCATTTACCATTGATTTCATATAAGACATCAAATATTCTCAATGCTCATATAAGACATCAAATATTCTCAAAGATTGCGCACAAAAATAATCTGGAACTAGATGTATCTTGAAACTTTATTTCGATACTTTTGTAATTATGTAATTGCAATAGATTTGATCTTTTTTATATGTATATGTAAAACATTTGTTCTTTTATTGAAAAACTTACAGGAGCAGAAATAACATCATATATCACAGTTGTAATGTTAAATGAGAGCATCAAACAGCGCAGATACAATCATATACAACAATGTGGGCTTATGCAGTGGGAGCTTCTTTAGCTTACAACACCAAGAGAAGCGCTATGAAATCCAACATTTGCTTGATTCATGCAAAGTCCTTGGTTGCTTGAGAGTGATTTATTTTAATGTAGAACTAATTTCAGCTGAGCTTCTAATTTTTGTGAATTTATTGGGTTTCAGGATCCATGCTCAAGCTCTGATGCTGGCTGTGCTTTTGGCGCTGCAATTATGCACTACTATGACATTGAAGAATGAATAAGGATATAGTGAAGTGAACTTATTTGGAGTTATGCAGGGTTTTCATTTGTGAATGAGTTTTATCTAATGGCTATTGGAACTTATTAGATAAACGAGGTTTATCTAATGGCTATTGAAGAATAAATCATGTTTACACTCTTCATCAATCCTTTGCTGCCTAAAGATAGTTCAAGAAATTTCTTCATCATGTTAGAATCAATCCTTTTTACATTCTTCATCAATCCTCTTCCGCATTAAGATTTTTTTTTCGTTTTCTCCGCCTGAAGATATGTCTTGCGTTTTCTCTACCTGAAGATTTGTCTTGCATTTTCTCTACCTGAAGATTTGTCTTGTGTTTTCTCATCCTGAAGTTTTTTCTTGTGTTTTTTCTGCCTGAAGATTAAGTATGCCTCCTTTTCTTTAATTTTATTTTTTTATTCAGTGTTTATTTAATCTGTGGGGAATTAGGAATTGACCAATTGTGTATAAGCACATTCTAAAATCCTTAAACTGTGTCAGTAACCACGAAATGAACAGCAAACCCGACATTATTTATTCTGATTTATTCAGATCCTCTAATCCTCTAATCCTCTAATGGCAATATTAATTTTGAATTCTTTTCCTTTTTTGAAGCTGAAAGAGTAAAGGATATGGTCATTTGATTTATCTTGGAGAAGCGGATCTATCTTGATGTTAATACTCTTTTGTAGCAAAATGGACGCAACATTGGATTCAAATCCAAAAATCTGGAGAATATTGGGCATGTTGGGAAATTGTTTTCGCCTTTGTGTCCACATCTTTTCCTGGAAATGGCTGGCATGGTGAACTTTGCCAAGGCAATTTCTTTAACTTGGATGATTCTATGTCTGTCATCTTTGAATTGTTGTTAAACAGTACTTGGACGTAATGAACCCTGCAGTTTCAGTTAAGACTTAAACCAAGTGTTTGGGTTACCAAGTGTTTGGGTTATATGAAGGAACTTATATGTTGTCTTAAGACTTAAACCAAGTGTTTGGGTTATATGAAGGAACTTATATGTTGTCTGCATAAGTTTTTATTCATTTTTTGTTGTTTTTTCGGTAATTCAACTGTTTGGGTTTGATTTGGGAACTTATATGTTGTCTGTATAAAGAATTCTAGGGTTCTTTAGGCTTGATTTGGGGCACGCGAATATTTCGTACACTATTATCGTGACAACAAAAAAATTAGATGAGCAATAAATCGCACAAAAATAATTTGTAAGGAGACCGTGCTTAGCACGGGATGAATACTAGTTTACTTTAATAAAAAAAGCATAGGCTGTTCGGACCTACAGGGGGTGGGGGTGAATAGGATTACCTGACATTTTTACCTAAATATAGAAAATGCAGCGGTATATAGCAAATAAAAGCAATAATTGATACTACGCAACACAAATATCACAAAAGCAATCAAACAAGGAACACACAAGATTTTATTGTGGTTCATATAAATAATCTTATGTCCACTCTTTCTTCTTGCAAAAAATCTTTCTCACTATGAAATAATTCACGTGAATCACAAAACTTAATTTAATAGCCTTACAAGACTACACCCTAGTTCATACCCGAAACCAGTCGTCTAACCTAACTGTAACAATGAGTAACTCCTAACCTTAGCTAGTCCTAATCCTCAATTAAACTGGCTTGGATGTACCGAGACAGAAGTTCAATGAAGTACGAAAACAAATATCAATTAAATTCAGAATCAAAATAATCTTGTAGCCCTTTCGATAAAATAAACCGTCCTTCGAAGGATTTAAGCAAAGCTTGATGAAGAACAGCGATGAAAATAAAACCAAGGGCAACACATCTTGCTGTGCAACAATCAGATGATGTTGTTTGCGGTGAATAAGAGTTTGATAAGACTCCAATGGATCGAAAAGCACTTCTTGATCTCCAAAAAAACAATAGAAGTTCTCTCTATTTCTTTATCTTTTTCTCTCTCAATTAGGTCAGGGAAGAGTTGTCAAAAATTTAGGAGAGGATGAAAATCATATGAGCAATAAACAATGGAGATTAAATTATCAAAAAAGTAATATGCTGCACTTACCATTGATGGTAGCTCTCGACCATCGATGGTGTTTAGCGACCATCGATGGTTGAAGGGCACCATCGAAGATTTGAATGTCTCTGGGCATGTGCATCATCGATGAACCTTTAGAACCATTGATGGTCTCCAAGCACCATCAATGGTCAAAGGCCACAATTGATGAT